TACAATATAACACCGTTTCGAAATTAAAATTACAAATCGCTCTTTTGCTCTCTCCCTCTCTCTCTCTCTCTCTTTCTTTGTGCATCGACGATTCTCTCTTTATAAAACTCGAGTCACGCGCATACATATTCGTTCGACCTGTTTCAAGATCAGACAAACATCACGGTAAATCCTGCAGACTCTAGTGGCCGCCATTTCTCGTCTCGAGCACCTTGTTTCGCTCCAATTTTTCGTTTTACACGGATGCGCGATTAACGTTTCGTTTTTACAGCCGCGTCGAAATTCGAAAGGGTGACGTTATCATTTACAAAAAACAAAAAAAAAAAAGAAAAAAAGAAAGAAAGAAAGAAAGGAAGAAAGAAAGAAAGAAAGAAAAAAAAAAGAGACCACGAGTCCTCCGCGTGCATATATTATATCGTAAAGTTATAGAAGTGCGAGGTCAAGAGCCACTTAAGAACACTCTGATGCGTGCGCCCGTCTGGATAGATCTCGACAAGAATCTTGATCTCCAGCCTCTGTTCACGCTGCGTGAAAGTCTCTCGAGTGGTTCCACCGCGAGCAGTAGGTACAATGATGGATGGGATATTCTTTTGGTGGGATAGGATCGAGAGAGAAAAGTTGAGGATTACATTCCTCAAAGTATCTAATTGCCGCGCATAATTACATGCAACCGTGCGCTCGTCGTTCATCCTATATACTTCTCCCCTCCTTACTTCTTTTTTTCTTTTTCTTTTTACTGAAAAAGTGTGTTTTTCTTTTTTTTTTTTTTATCGAGTTGTTATTTGATATCTATGATTCCAGAATAAATTGCAACAAGTTCGTGACTGGGGATCGTAAAATTGAATGTAATTTTTTTTTTTTTTTCTTCCATCCAAGTTCAAAGCCGGAGTGTGGAAATGACCGAAACGGGGAATCGCTCCGCGTTGAGAAATGGTTAATTAAAAGAAAAAAAAAAAAAAATAACATCGCATGGACGGTTATTTTCTCGCGCGACGAACTCGCGCCGGTTATACAAAGTTGTATACGAGCTGTTGTGTCGTAATCAAATCGTAGACATATTTATAATAATTCGCGTGGCAAAAGAGGAGGGTAGCGGTTGGAAGGCGAACCAACACGTTCGAAACTCGTTTCAGCTAGTTGAATTAAGAAAAAAATTTCATAATAGATGATAGATAGAGACAAATAGCGTTGTTATGAGCCCAATCATCACTTTAATGAATCTTATTGATACTCATAGAATCGATGAATCGTGGGTTCAAAGTTTCAAGTTGGGGGGTTGTAAAAAAAAAAAAAATAACCGGTTTATTAATATTAAGCGATTCATTAACAGATTTAATATCTCTGTTGTCTCTTCCCCGAAAAATTTTTTTCCCCCGAGTAATTTTAATATTAGGATTATTACAGGTGATTTTTATAATCGATCCGTTGTCACATCGAATCGATGTACCCCAGAGCTACGTGACTGTGTATCTCGGTTGGTCAATCGATCGTGATCAACCGGTTCCGATTGCCGCTCTAAGATCTGATAGGGTTAAATTACTCATTAAATAAAGCAGTGTGAGTTTTTCATCCGATAAAATAATGCACTATTACATATTTAATGGCGACGCTTTCTAGTCGTTTCTGTTACCTAATATCATCTACGCACATATATATATATATATATATATACCTCTCGTATTTATAATTCCATATTTTAAATTCCATCCTTCAAAAATTGAGATTAGTGAGCAAGATATATCAAAATAAACTGTTTTCTTTCGTTAATCATATATATATATTATATGATTAATCCTTGTTGTAAAGCAATTATACCGACCGGTGTAGAAGCGAATCTTATTGTACTCGTAGAGTATCGTTTATCATTTACGCGATCGATAGTTATAAACCGCATGTATCATTTTCCAATATTTTTTTTTTTTTTTTTTTT